GATCAAAATGGGTCTGAGATTGCAACTGAAATGGATACTGGACTGCAGTTCAAATAGATCGAAGATTGAAACTCAGATAGGTCCAGCATTGCAAGCACTGCAACCCCAGTGGGTCTGGGATTGCAATCCAATGGGTCCAAGATTGCAGCTCAAATGAGTCCAACTTTGCAACCCAGATGAGCTCAGGATTGCACCCCACTGTGTCTGGAATTGCAGCTAAAATGGGTCTGAGATTGCAACCCCAATAGATCAGGATTGCAACCTAGATGAGTCCAATATTACAACCCAAATGAGTCCAAGATGGCAACCCCAGTGTGTCTGGAATTACAGTCCAGATGGGTCTGAGCTTGGAACAGAAATTGATCCAAGTTTGCAACACAAAGGAGCCCAGGATTGCAAGCCAAGTGGGCCTAGGATTGCAATTAAAATGGGCCCAAGATTGCAACTCATTTGGGTCCAAAATACCAACTCAGTTGATTCCAGGATTGCAACCATCAGGCCAGGACTGCGTCCTCAGTAGGTGTAGGATTGCAGCCAAAATGGGTCCAAAATTGTATCCCATTTGGGTGCAGGATTATAGTCTAAAAAGGTTCAGGAATGCAACAGAAATGTGTCCAGGATTGTAAACCCAGCGAGTCCAAGACTGTAATTCATATGAGCCCAGGTTTGCAGCCCTGGGATTGCAATGAAAAGAGGCCAAGATTGCAACCCAGTTGGATTGGACTGCAGTCCAGAGAGGTCCAGGATTGCAAACACAGTGGATCTGTGATTGCAAATGAAATGGATCTGAAATTGGAACCCAAATGGATCCAGGATTTCAACTGCAATAGGTCTGGGATTGAAGCCCAGAGGGGTCCAGAATTGTAATCCCAGTGTGTCTGGGACTCCAACAGAAATGGATCCAGGATTGCAATCCAGATGATTTCAATCCAAATTGGCCCTGATTGCAACCAAGCTGAGCCTGTGGTGAGCAGGATGCTGCAGAACCATTAACGAGGGCTTTGCAAAGAGCCTCATTACCCCTAATGCAATTAGCCCTATGCAGCCCACGCCAGGTCCCTCCTCCCCAATCACAGCGATGGGGAGGGTTTAAAGCTGTTGGCATGTCTGCATTCAGCCCGCATTACATGCACCGAGCTGCCTGTCCTCTGCGTTGCACCCCAGGGAGGGCTGCTCATCCTCCTCGGCGCTGAGAGGAAATTGCCTATCTGCAACAGTAGGGTGCAGCCCTGCTGCATGCCGTTGCTGGGGAAACGGGCAAGCAGCTAATTATATTTTCATTAACGAAGCAGGAGGGAAGCGCTGCAAGAAGATGCTGGGACAGTGAGGAGGGATGTGGGTGATAAAGAGTGGGATTTTTTGGGAGGGGGGGTCCTGCTCCGTGCCTCAGTTTCCCCAGCTCTTACAAGACAGGGGAGGTTTGCTCCGTGCCTCAGTTTCCCTTTTTTAAAAACCAGATCCTAGAAATCATGGATGCGCTTTGAGAGAAGGATATGTGGAACCCTAACGCTGGGAACACATTTGGAGACGCAGTGACCCCCCAGCGCTGAGCAAAGTGGGAACACATCAGCCAGCTCCAAACCACCACTTTCACCCCCAAAACATCCCCCTCTCCCAGGAGCTGATGGCCGCAGCCCCCCTCCCTGCAGCATCACCCAGCCCTGCGCCGTGCGTGCGTGGGCACGGCCGTACCGCCGCGCTCAGCCCCGCTCCCTTCTCTCTCCACCCCGGTGCCCGTGGGCACCTCCTGGGGCTGGGGACACGCGCACCCCCGGACGCACACACGCAGACGCACGCAGCTTACGGCCGCTCTGCAGGAGGGCTTTATCGGTGTTATCATTTTATACGGCTGGCTATTAATAGCTCCTTCTCTTCTATCCCCCTCCGCGCCGCTGCGGCGGTTTTTTCTTTACCAAACCGCGCGGGGGGGGGGGGTCCGAGGGGGAGAGGTTGAGCTTTTTCTCCTTCCCGTTGGGCCGCGTGGGACGGACCGAGCCCGGGACCCGCATGCTGCAGATGGTGAGGACGTTGGCGCAGTTCACTATCGCGCTGGAGGACATGAGAGACATCGGGGACGGCATCGATGCTGCCTTCACCGCCGCCTCCGGGCTCGGGGGGGCCGCCGAGGAGCTGCCGGAGAAGGGTCGCGGTGCCCCCGAGGTGACGCGGAGGAAGGGGACCCCCTCCCCGCCATGGGAGCAGGGATTGGGTGGGGGGACACTGCTGGGGGTGGGCGAGGGGGGGACGGCTGCGTCACGGTGGGACACGTGTGCCGAGCGGGGTCTGGAGCGCCGTCGCCGTGGCAACCGAGCATCCATCTTCATCCCGTGCTGCATCTGCATCCATGGCTGCAGCCTCAGCCGTGCCTCCGTCCTCATCCTCATCTGCGCCTTCATCCTCATCATAGTCATCTTGTGCCTTCATCCTCATCTGTGCCTTCATCCTCATCTGTGCCTTCATCCTCATCCCACACTTCCATCCTCATCCCAAACCTCCATCCTCATCCTCATCCCACACCTCCAAGCTCATCTTCATCCCATACTTCCATGCTCATCCTCATTGTCATCTTGTGCCTTCACCCTCATCCCACTCCTCCATCCTCATCCTCATCTTGTGCCTTCATCCTCATCCCACATCTCCATCCTCCTCTGCGCCTCCATCCTCAGCTGTGCCTCCATCCTCATCTTCATATGCTCTTCCATCCTCATCCTCATCTTGTGCCTCCACCCTCATCTGTGCCTTCATCTTCACCCTCATCCTCATCTGCACCTCTATCCACGCTGTGCCTCCATCCTCATCCTCTTCCTCCATCCTCGTCCTCATCTGTGCCGCCACCCCCATCTATGCCTCCATCTTCATCTGTGCCTTCATCCTCATCCCAGTCCTTCATCCTCATCTGTGCCTCCATCCTCATCCTCATCAGCACCTACATCCACTCTGTGCTTCCATCCTTATCCTGTGCCTTGATTCTCATCCCACACTTCTGTCTCATCCTGTGCTCATATCTGGATGTCATGTCTCCATCTTCATCTGTGCTGCCATCCTCACTCTCGTCTGTGCCTCCATCTTCATCCCGTACCTCCATCTTCATCTCCTACCTCCATCCTCATCCCACATGTCCATCCTCATTCCACTTTGTGGTGAGCATCTGGGGGCTGTGGGGGTGCTGGGGTCTGAATCTGCACACAGCCCCCCCCCACCCCAGCCACATATGCTTGCTTGCACTGCGGAGGTGTGCAGATGGGGCAGGTGGTTGCAGAGCTGGGGGAATGCCCCCCACATCCCCTGATCTGTGGGCTGCTGAGCATCTCAGTGCCATGCTGATGGAGGGTGAGGGTGGGCTGTGTCAGGTTTGCGGGTTCTAGGGGAAGCAAGATGGGAGCAGTCCACAAGGGGTCAGGAGGAACAAGGAGCTGTGTGCGTGCTGGGGAAACTGAGGCATGGTGCAGGAGCAGGCACTGCACTGGTTCCATATAGGGTCGGTCCTGACACTGAAAGTTGTGGTCCAGGATGTGCAAGGAGGAAAGTTGCTTTGGTGGAGAGAAAGCAGCCTTGGCATGGACAGCAATTAGGAAACTGAGGCACTGCTCCATCCGTGGGCAGGGATGAGTGGATGGGAAAGTGCATTATTTGGAGTGAGTGTTCCAGCATTTTGGTGTGGCTGAGCCTGTAAACCATGTGGGGGTGCAAGAGAAATGGGGGTGCGTGGCCAGAGTGGGGTTCTGCATTTCCAGGGACATCTGGTTGACACATCTCTGCAGGGGGTGCTTTTGGGGAGGTCCCTGCATGCATGGACTTCGGGGTGCCTGCGGTCCCAGGGCTCTTTGGGTCTCACTGTGCCCAGAGCCATTGGAGCATCTCCATCCCCAAGGTATCTGGAGCACCTCAGCACTCAAAACTTTTGGGGTGTCTCTGCATCCAGGGTACTTGGAGCATCTTGGCACCCAGAAATGTTGGGATGTCTCATACCCATGGTCCTTGGATTGCTTCTACTCCCAAAATTTTGGGGGTGTAGGGTCTTTGGAGGACTTCTGCACTCAAATCCTTTGGGGTGTTTCTGCACCAGTGGTCCTTGGAGCACCTTGGAACCCCAAATTTTTGGGGCGTCTCTGCATCCAGGGTCATCTGAGCACTCTGGCACCCAGAATTGTCGGGGTGTCTCATACCTGTGGTCCTTGGACCACCTCTGCACCCAAAACTTCTGGGGTGTAGGGCCTTTGGAGCACCTCTACACACCAATCTTTTTGGGATGTCTCTGTATCAAAACTTTTGGGGTGCCTCTGCATCAAAAATGTGGGGTGTCTCTGCATTCAGGGTCCTTGGAGCATCTCATCAACCAAATCTTTTGGGGTATCTCTATGCCCAGGCTGCTTGGAGCATCTCAGCATCCAAAAATTTGGGGTGTCTCTGTACTGAGGGTCCTTGGAGCATCCCAGCTACTCAGTACCTTTGGGGCATCTTTGAATCCAGAGCCTCTAGAGCACTTCAGCACCCAATACTTTAAGGGTGCCACTCACCTTGTATCCCTTGTCCCACTGTGCCCTAAGGCTGAGCTTCAGCCTAGGCTCCGCTTGGGGGCATACCCCATTATAGGGGGGGACTCTGAGCCCCAGATCTGCCCAAACCCCAAACCCCACAATCCCCCCCAACCCTCTGAGCCCCCTCCTCGGCGCACACAGCATCAGAGCTGGATGGGACCAGCGCGGGTGCCCGGGTGCCGTCAGGAATTCACAGCACGGGGCCGCGCCAAGAGGGGAGAAGGAGCCCGCCAGCACCGACCCATGTAGGGCTGTGAGAGCTCCTGACGCGGGCGTGGAGGAAACCAGGCGTCGGTGTCATGTACTTCCTAATCCTCCTGGATTCCTCCATCGGGGCGGAGAGGGAGCTGGAAGCACGCCGGGCTCCTCTGGCGCACAGCCCCCGTGCCGGCACCGGAGGGGACGTCTCGGTGTCCCTGTAGTCACCCCGATTTCATTTGGGTTTTCTCTCCACCCGTGCAGGACATGAGGAAGCACGTCATCATGACGCTGCTGGACACGGAGCAGTCTTACGTGGAGTCCCTGCGCACCTTGATGCAGGTAAGGGGGTATGGATGGGGTGTGGGGGGGCAGGTATTGGTGCAGGGGGACGTGGGGAGCTGTCACAGCTTGGCTGTCCCTTCCTTGTGGCCATTCTTTCCTCGTGCCCTTCCCTTCCTTGTGGCTGTGCCTGGGATGTGGAGTCAGACTCCAGTGTTGTATCAGCACAGGAACAGGGAGGAGATGGGTGGCAGCATTGGGGACAGCAATAAAGCAGCCCCGCAGCTGGTCCTGATCAGCTGTCACCTAGAAGGGAGCATATCCCAAACCTCTTCCTTGCGTCTCCTGAGCCCCTGCTGGTGCACATCCCATGCTGGGGGACTCCGACACCCCCAACACCCCCCATGGGCTAGGGGATTTTTAGGTCCCACTTTTTCCCCAGCCTAATCCCATCCGCCCAGAGCAGCCTCACTCACATCTCAGATGGCTGTGAAGGTGTTTCAGAAACACAATGGCAATGGGCCCTTTGAAGGCTAACCCATTCTGGCATAGCTATGGGATGTCAGACCCTGATGCTGCAGGTGGAAATGCCCGAAGTCATAAGGTCTGATCTGCTTGCCACAAAGCAGTGCCTGTCTGACATCTGCTGGGATGAGCATTTGGGCAGCTGTCATCCTGACACCTATTTTGGCTTTCCTGATCAGCCCCCAGCGAGGCTAATCCTACAACAGATCCAGATGTGCTCTGCTGAAGGAGGAAAGGACCTTTTGAGGCAGCTCCCAGTGCAGATGTTGCCTTAGAGGGGCAAAAGGAGCCTGGCCCCCCTGATTTTGGGGGAAGCTCTGCATAGTTCTGGGTTGGATGGTGTCTCTGCTGAGCTGTTGATGGCTGAGCTGTCACCCTTGAGACACATCCAGGGGAGTTGGTCTTCTAGTGGGACCACAGGGCTCCAAATGCCCCCAGCCAGGAAAAGATGCACTGGCAGCTGTGGGATTGTGGCTCCGAGTCATGGGGACCAGCTGGAGCAGCAGCTTCCAGCCAACCCAGGTGGTGCAGGGGCAGCTCTGCCGTTTGCTGAGCTGGGGACCATCTCCATGCTCTTGTCCCCCATCATCAACATGGGAAACCCCATCCTTAATGGGAGGCACCTCCATCACCAGCTCAGGTGGAGACACCCAAAGCAGCTTGAAGTGGGTCCTGTCCTACCTTTCTCAGCTCCATGGTTCCTCCCCAAGGACACCAGCACCCCATACCATGGGGATAAGGAAGATGCAAGGCTTGAGAAGGCTTGAGAAGACCTTCCTCCTGTCCCCAGGAACCCTAAAGTCCACCCAGAACCGATAGTTCGGGATCCCACAGTTTTGCTGCCGTGATTTCCCATGTGGGTGACTCAGAGGGGACTAAGATTCATGACAGCAAACCTGCTCTGCTTCCCAAACTGCTGTGGGATGCACTGGGTAGGATTGGTCCCTGTGGGATTGGAGTGCCAAAATTGGCACAGCTAGACCCTTTGATCAGTCCCTGAGTGCCCAAAGCCGTGTAGGGTCAACGCCTCCTCCAGCATTCCATGCCTTTGGCTGGGTTCACTGGGGGAACCCCCCTACTGGGATGAAATGGGTTGAAAAAGTCATTTTGGAGACATGGAAAAAAAAAAAAAAAAAAAAAAAAAAAAGATAATCTCTTGGTGCCCCAACACAACGCTTCCCCATAGGGCTACATGAAGCCGCTGAAACAACCCGAAAACTCACTGCTGTGCGACCCATCCTTGGTGGATGAGATCTTCGACCAAATCCCTGAGCTGCTGGAGCACCACGAGCAGTTCCTGGAGCAGATCCACGACTGCGTGCAGAACTGGCACGAGAAGCAGAAAGTGGGCGACCTCCTGGTGCAGTCGGTAGGACCCGACCCTGTTCCCCATTTTGGGTTCAGCCCTAAAGCCTTGCTTTATCGTGCTTGTTTTTTCGGACACGGCCCCGAGCAGGGAGCAGGAAGCAGGGGGATGATGAAAGGATGGGCAAACCACGTCGGAGATGGAGAGAGACGATCTCCAGGCCCTTGGTCTGCTTAGCTTAACGGCAGGGTGGTGCGGCGGCCGGCTGGCTCTGCAGCTTGGAGTTTCTGCATCGGGAGCAGAAATGTCAGGGCTGAAAAATCGAGGCGGGGAGCTGAGCTTGGGCAGATCCAGATGGACACCATTTTAACCCTTGGGACAGCTTCTCCAATCTCCAGCCGTGCCCCGACCCCGTGCTGATCCCATTTTTCCTATTTCATAGAATAACAGAATGATAGAATGGCCTGGGTTGCAAAGGAGCACAATGCTCATCCAGTTCCAACCCCCTGCTGTGTGCAGGTCGCCAACCAGCAGCCCAGGCTGCCCAGAGCCACATCCAGCCTGGCCTTGAATGCCTGCAGGGATGGGGCATCCACAGCCTCCTTGGGCAACCTGTTCCAGTGCCTCACCACCCTCTGGCTGAAAAACTTCTTCCTAAAAACTTCCTCCTATTTCCCCCAGTTCTCCAAGGATGTGTTGGTGAACATCTATTCTGCCTACATCGATAACTTCCTCAATGCCAAGGATGCCGTCAGGATCGCCAAGGAGGCACGGCCAGCGTTCATGAAGTTCCTGGAGGTGGGTCCTGGGTGCCACCGTGGGCTGGTCACCATCTTACTGGGAGCCACTGGTGGAGCAGAGGGGGGTTAGTGGGAGTAAATTGGTTATCTACAGTCAAAGTGGGATTTTTCCATCTTTTTTTTATTGGGGAAGGCCTTATGTAAGATCATAGAATCACAGCATCACAGAATGGCTTGGGTTGGACGGGACCTCAAGGATCATGAAGCTCCAACCCCCCTGCCACAGGCAGGGCCACCAACCTCCACATTTCAGAGCAGCCCAGGCTGCCCAGGGCCCCATCCAACCTGGCCTTGAACATCTCCAGGGATGGATGAGGCATCCCATCCTGGGTGCTGTCAAAGCAATGTCACTGGATCCCAAATCAGTGTCACTCCATGCCCTGGGATGGTGCCGTGGCGTGTCCCCATTGTGTCCCACCTAACTTTTTTTTTTTTTCTGCAGCAAAGCATGCGAGAGAACAAGGAGAAGCAAGCTCTGTCTGACCTGATGATCAAACCTGTCCAGAGGATCCCGCGGTACGAGCTGCTGGTGAAGGTAGGAGGTGTGGCACTGGGATGAAGTCCGTGCCATCCTGGGAAGGAGTGACACCACGGTGTCCCCTTGGCAGGACCTGCTGAAGCACACACCTGAGGACCACCCCGACCACCCCTTCCTCATCGACGCCCAACGCAACATCAAGCAGGTGGCCGAGAGGATCAACAAGGGGATGAAGAGTGCTGAGGAGGTGGAGAGGAACGCACGCATCGTGCAGGAGATCGAGTCCCACATTGAAGGGATGGAGGATGTATGGATGGGGGTCTTGGCATGGGGTCCTGGGTGGGGGTGGGTGACATGGACACCGGCTGCAGGGCACAGGGACAAGAGGGGACATTCGGCCTGGCTGAACCACCCAAGGGAGCAGCACCCATATCAAAGCTGCACCCAGCACCAAACACATGGAGCGGGTCTTTCCTTTCACTCAAAACTCAGCCATTTTGGGGGGTTGACCTATATTGGGCCACTTGTTTCCTCATTCAGGTCCTGCCTTCCCCATTCGTGCCTCCATGGGTTGCTGGGAGGTTTGGGAAGGGGACAGGGTGACAAGTCAGAGTTGGTGGGGGCCAGGAATAGGAACAAAGCCACTCATAAGCCTCCTTGTCCCCACAGCTCCAGGCCCCACTCCGCAGGTTCCTTCGACAGGAGATGGTGGTGGAAGTGGTAAGAGATGGCCCTCTGTCCCTTGTCCCCATGGCACATCCACTTTGGCAGCATTGTGACACCGTGCACCAAGCGGGGCAGTCGGTGGTTGGGATGGTGGGTCGTGTCCAACAGGGATCACGAATGGATGGATGGACGGACAGATGGATGGATGATGGATGGACAGAAACATGGATGGATGAGTGATGGACGGATGAAGGATGATAGATGATGGATACATGCATGGATAGATGTATGGAGGTGTTCATGGGTGGAAGCACCCACAGATGGATAATGGATGGATGACCTGACGGATGCATGCATGGATGGAAGCATGCTTGGATGGATGGACACGTACATGAATGGACAAATGTGTAGACGATGGAAGAATGAAGGAATAATGGGTGATTAATTATGGTCACATGCGCGGATGTATGCATGGAGGTATGCACGGATAGAAGCATGAATGGGTAGATGGATGGGTGGATGGATGGACGGACGGACGGACAGATGGATGGATGGATGGATGGGGGGATGAGGACAATATAAAAGTCCCCAGGTGTGTGGGGAAAGATAAGAGGGGGTGAGCTGGCAGTAGCCCAGGGTCAGGGATGGACAGAGAGACTGAAGATGGAGACCACAGAGGTCCTGGCATTCTTGTAGGCTCCCCCAAGGACCACTGTAGGGGTGGCACATGGAGAAGCTGAGGCAGGGTTGGGTGCATTTGCAGTCCCTTGTGTCTCTTGCCTCTCTGCAGAAAGCAGTGGGTGGGAAGAAGGACCGTTCTCTCTTCCTCTTCACGGACCTGCTGGTGTGCACCACACTGAAGCGCAAGTCGGGCTCCCTTCGACGCAGCTCCATGAGCCTGTGAGTGCCACCAGGCATGGGGGACAGCCAGCTGCCTTTCCCATTGCATCTCTCTGGGGTTATCCCACCTCCTTGGGGCATTACTATGGGCTGGGATGGTCTTAGGGGGAGATGTGGCTCAACTAATCCCTTGTCCTGCAGGTACACGGCAGCCAGCGTGATCGACACGGCCAGCAAGTACAAGCTGCTCTGGAAGCTGCCACTGGAGGACGTGGACATCATCAAAGGTCTGTCACTGCCTGATGCCAATTCCATGTCCTGAAACCCATTACTCAACCCCTAGCAAACAGCGATGGATTCAAAGCATCCCATTGCTGGGGCTGACAACACCCCGGCTAAAAGCATTAGGGGAGAAGCCGCCCCTGGGCAGCTCTGGGGAGGAAGGGGTTAATGTCACGCGCATGTCCCCATGCAGGTGCCTCACAAGCCACCAACCGTGAGAGCATCCAGAAGAGCATCTGCCGCCTGGACGAAGATCTCAGCACGCTGGGCCAAGTCAGCAAGCTGTCAGAGACCCTCAGCTTCCCCCACCAGGTATGGGGACGGTTGGTCCCCTGTGGGTGACCTCCACCATGAGACCAGCTGGTATCTCACTGAAACACAGAGCCTGTGGGAGGGCTGGTGGCCCTCAAAGGACCCAGATGCCACCAGCCCTGAAGCCACAGGAGGGTTGGGACATCCTCCAAGGGATGTGAAGTGGGATGGATGTGAGGCTTGCAATGTTCCCCATGGACCCTGACGCTGTCACCCTCCCCAGAGCCTGGATGATGTGATCAAGGACCTGATGGCTGCCATCCACCGGGAACTGGCAGAGAAGCAGTCCTTGTCCTTCAGCATGGCCTTCCCCCCCAACAAAGTGGAGCTCAGCGCTGCCAAGGCCGATGGCACTGAGTCCTTCATCTTTGAGTTCCCCAACCCCGACGCGCGGCTTGGCTTCGAGCAAGCCCTTGAGGATGCCAAGAAGAAGCTGGGTAATGCTGGGACGTGGGGTGGGAGACAGAAACGGGCTCAGCATCCCACACCCCGTATTGCCCAAACTGCCTCCTTTTCGCCTCAATTTTCAGCTCTTCTCTTATTTCCCCAGCTTCCAGCAAAAACTGCCTGGACCCCGAATTCCTCAAAGCCATTCCCATCATGAAGACACGAAGCGGGATGCAGGTGGGTCCACCTGCTGCTCCCACATTTTTGGGAGGGTGCATTTGCGTATATTCCTGTTCACCAGCGGGATGCCACCGTGCCGGTGACCTTCCCAAGTGACCTCTCCTTGTTTTTTGCCCCTTTCCAGTTTTCTTGTGCTTCTCCCAGCCACAGCAGCCCGGAGAATGCCCACGAGGTGTGGGTGTGCAACAGCGACGGCTACGTGGGGCAGGTCTGCCTGCTCAGCATCCGCAAGGAGCCCATTGTCGAGGCGTGCATCGCTGTCTGCTCAGCCAGGATCCTCTGCATCGCCTCCGTGCCTGGCCTCAAGCGACCCTATAGGTAAGGAGACCCTCATCCCATGGATGGTGCCAGCATCGCTGCGTTGCAGTGCTGGAGCTGTGGCTGTCCCCGTGGCAGGGAGCGCACGGAGCCGATGGTGAGCCCATCCTCGGAGCCGGCACCGACACAATCAGAGGATTCAGGGCCACAGCAATGCCTGCACATCTCCATCTCGGGCTCATCGCTGGAGCTCTCTGAGCCTGTCGACAGCACACACCGGGAGCTGGTGCCCTTTGACAGTGATGACACAGATGATGAGTCCTCACCCAGCCCCTCGGGCACGCTGCAGAGCCAGGCCAGCCACTCCACCATCTCCTCCAGCTTCGGCAGTGAGTCATCCCCATGGGGGGAAAAGTCAATTTTTTGTCCCAAATCAGCAGGCAGCTCCATCATCCATGTGATTGTTCCCCACTCTGCCTTGGGTTCATTGCAAATTGATAGGAAAGGAGCTTCCATTTGTCTTTTAAGTTGAAGAAACACAGGGAAAAGACTCAGGGAGATCCTAATTTGGATCTCGTGATGACAGGGTTGGAGTGGAAGCTTGTCTTCTGTTGTAGAACCACACAATCGTAGAATGGTTTCACTTGGAAAGGATTGCAAAGATCTACTTCCAGCCCCCATGCCACTAAATCAGGCACCAGCTCAGATTGCCCATGGCCCCAGTCCTACCTGGCCTTCAACACCTCCAGGGATGGTGCAAAAGTGTGCAAGGCCTGCATTGGATGAAGGCTGTCATTGCAAATCCCATTTGTCTTCTAAGCTGAAGAAACCCTGGGTAAAGAGATAGGGGCAGGGTCCTAGCTGAGATTCCATGATGCTGGGGTTGGGGTGGCAAGTTGTTCTCTATGTAGGGTAAATTCTGGCATGTTTGGGGGTCAGCATCCATCTGTCCTCCCTGGGTACTACAAGGGCTTTGTGCAGCATCCCGTGCTTTCATCCCCATCACTTGGACGGGCAGTTTTTTCCAACCCCAGGGATCCTGTGATTCTCTAATCTACCACTTGAACAGGTTGTCCAGAGCCTGATCCACTCTGACCTTGAATGCCTCCGAGGATGGAGACATCATGGAGTTCAAAAAACATTTAGGTGTTGTACTGAGGGACATGGTTTAGTGGGGAAATACTGGTAGTAGGTGGATGGTCAGACTGGAAGTCCAGGATGGATGGATGGATGGTCTTGGAGGTCTTTTCCAATTGTGGTGATTCTGTGACTCTGTGATCATGGCAAGGTTGGGTTGACACTTGGACTGGAAATGATCTCAGAGCCCTTCTCCGACCTCAATGATTCCATATATCTACGACCTTCTCATTCTCCCCTACAGATGAGGAAATCCCAAGCTGCAAAGAGGCAGCAGCAGAGACGACGAGCTCAGAGGAGGAGCAGGAGCCTGGTTTCCTTCCCTTGGCCACCACCTTCGGTCAGAGCCGGCGTGGTGAGAGCCCAACAGATGGACGAGCCCTACGGCGCTCCAGCCGCGGCTCCTTCACCCGCGGCAGCCTCGAGGACCTGCTGAGCCTTGACCCCGAAGCCTACCAGAGCTCCATGTGGCTGGGCACCGAGGATGGCTGGTGAGTCCCCGACACATGAGGACCCACGTGGACACAGCTCAGCCCTTCGTGAGCCTCAACCCTGTGCTTTTTCTCTCTCCCACCTCTGCAGCATCCACGTCTACCAGTCATCGGACAACATCCGCAACAGGAAGAACAGCATGAAGATGCAGCACGCTGCTTCCGTCATGTGCATCTTGTAAGGGGGCTTTGGGCTTGTTTGGTTGGTTGGTTTTTTTTATGGGGTGGTTTCAGGCTGCCCAGCACCGCTTCTCACAGCTTTTCTCCCCCCACAGGTACCTCGATAACCAAGTGTTCGTGTCGTTGGCCAACGGAGAGCTCATCGTGTACCAGCGGGAGCCAGGTGAGGCTGCTGGATGGACCCCAAAGCAGCGATGGTTTGGTCTCCGAGGGAGGGATGCTTTGGCTGCCAGCACCCACAGGGAGGGCAGCAGACTGGGGAGAGCCATCCTCGAGGGATGCTGAATGGGCAGCCCCAAATATAAAGCATGGTGGTCTCTGCTCACCGATGTCCCAAGGGATATCAGCTCATGTCACCACTGCCAATGTCCCCAAGCTTACATCCCCCCCTATCCAGATCCATCAGCATCTGGATAATGATGTTTCCAGACACCTCCTTCCCCCCCAGCTGGGGGTTTTGCTGCTGTAGTGACCTCTCCATCACCACATCATCCTTAAAGGTCCCTTCTGGGACAAATCCAAGACCCTATCCCTGTGCTCTCTGGGCAAGGAGGGCCATCCTTGAGAGATGCTGAATGGGCAACCTCAAATTTGGAGCATGTGGTCCCTGCTTCCAAAGGACATCATCTCAGGACCCCACACTTGCCCCACTTGCAACCAACTCTAGGGAACCTGCTTTAGCACAGGGGTTGGACTTCATGATCCTTTCCAACCCCCACGATTCTGTGATGTCCCCTACAAAGGACAGGTGATGGGACAAGAGGAAATGGCTTCAAGATGTGCCAGGGGAGGTTTAGGTTGGATATCAGGACAAAATTCTTTACAAAAAGGATTGTTAAGCACTGGAATGGGGCTCCCCAGGGAGGTGGTTGGGTCGCCATCCCTGGATGTGTTTAAAAACCCTTTGGATGTGGTGCTCAGGGACATGATTTAGGGTTAGGGTTAGGGTTAGGGTTAGGGTTAGGGTTAGGGTTAGGGTTAGGGTTTGACTTGATGATCTTTAAGGTGTGAGCTATTCTATGATTCTATGAAGAAGCATCCATCAGCATCTGGATATAATGTTTCCAGCAACCTCTTCCCCCCCAACCTGGAGGTTCTGCTGCTGTCACAACCCTTGTATCTCCCCCTGTCCTTACAGGTCGCTTCTGGGACCCTCAGAACTCCAAATCCCTCTCCCTGGGCTCCCCAGGCAGCCCCATCACGAAGATGGTGGCGGTGGCAGGAAAACTATGGTGCGGTTGCCAGAACCGGGTCATCATCCTCAACACAGCCACTCTGGAACAAGAGGTACACGGCAGGCGTGATGGCCACAGGGTGGGGACCACAGAAACGTCCCCTGGTGGCTGTGGGTGACACCGGCGTGGCTCTGTCCCCGCAGCACACCCTCCAGGTGGGGCAGGACAGCGGGCGCAGCGTCAGCTGCATGGTGAGCGCGGCGCCCGGCGTCTGGCTGTCGCTGCAGGGCAGTGCCCTGGTCCGCCTTTACCACCCCACCAGCTACGAGCAGCTGGCCGAGGCTGACATCACCCCCCCAGTGCACAAGATGCTCGCTGGTAAGCAAACCCAGCCCCTTTTCCCTGTGCTTTCCCGTTTCCCGTTCTGTACCCATTGCATTTTGTTATAACGCGCTTTGCTCCGGAGCCATCGAGTGTCTGGTAGTGCAAAGTGCCTCTGTATCATCCACATCCCAGCTGGCTGCAGGGAATGAGGTCCGCCTGCACTCAGCCGGTTCAACCTCTGCAGCCCCTGCACAGAAATGAGAGAGTGGCTGCAAAACCCCATGCAGAAATCGGGACGTGGCTGCAAAATTCTGTAGAGAAATAAGGGAGCATGCGAAATCCCTCAGGGGATTAGAACAGCAGTTGCAAAACCCCGTGCAGGAATAGGGCAACCCATCAGTGGCTTCAATATCCCATTCAAAAGTGAGGTGGTGACTGCAAAATCCCATGGAAAATGAGAGAAGTGGTTGCAAAGTCCCATGCAGAAATAGGGCAACTTGTAGAAAATTCCATGCAGAAATCAGGACATGGGTGCAAAACCCCATGCAGAAATTGGGAGTCAGGTGCAAAATCCCATACAGAAGTGGCAGAGCAGCTACAAAAACGCCATGTAGGAACAGGGAAATCCCTTGGTGGATTCAATATCACATGCAGAAATCGGGACCCAGCGGCAGAATCCCATGCAGCAATCAGGACCTGGGAACAGAACCCCACATAGCAAACAGGACACGGGTCCAACACCCCACACCTCAACCAGGACCTGGGTGCAGAACCCCATGCAGCAGTCAGGACACGGGTCCAGGACCACATATAGCAGTCAGGACCCACGTGCAGAACCCCATACAGCAGTCAGGACCTGGGTTCAGGACCCCATAACCCAACCAGGACCCAGGTGCAGAACCCGACACAGCAAATAGGACCCAGTTCCAACACCCCAGCCAGGACCCAGGTACAGGACCTCATATAGCAGTCAGGACCTGGGTACAGAAACCCACACAGCAAATAGGACATGGGTCCAACACCCCACAACTCAACCAGGACCCAGGTACAGAACCCCATGCAGCAGTCAGGACCTGGGTACAGAATCCCACAGCCCAACCAGGAACCAATACAGAACCCCATACAGCAGTCAGGACCCAGGTACAGGATTGCATATAGCAGTCAGGACCTGGATCCAGAACCCCACACACAGCCAGGACCCGGGTCCAGGACCACATATAGCAGTCAGGACCTGGGTACGGAAACCCATATAGCAGTCAGGACCCAGGTACAGAACCCCACACCTCAACCAGGACCCAGATCCAGAACTCCATACAGCAGTCAGGACCAGGATCCAGAACCCCACACCCCAAGCAGGACCCAGATACAAAACCCCATACAGCAGTCAGGACCCAAGTACAGGACCTCATATGGCAGTCAGGACCTGGGTACAGGACCCCATAACCCAACCAGGATCCAGGTCCAACACTCCACACAGCAACCAGGATCCAAATAGAGAAGCCCATGCAGTCAGGACCCGGGTCCAGAATCCCACACCCCAGTCAGAACCTGGGTACAAAACCCCATACAGCAACCTGGACCCAGGTATAGGACCACATATCACAGTCAGGACCCGAATCCAGAACCCCAAACCCCAACCAGGACCCAGGTCCAACACTCCACACATCAACCAGGATTCAAATACAGAACCCCACACCCCAGTCAGGACCTGGGTCCAGAATCCCATACAGCAGTCAGGATCCAGGTACAGGACCTCATATAGCAGTCAGGACCCGAATCCAGAACCCCACACCCCAACCAGGACCCAGATACAAAACCCCATACAGCAGTCAGGATCAAGCTCCAATACTCCACAGTCCCAACCAAAACCCAAATACAGAACTCCATACAGCAGTCAGGACCCGAATCCAGAACCCCACACCCCAACCAGGACCCAGGTCCAGCACTGTACACAGCAACCAGGATCCAAATACAGATCCTGCAGTCAGGACCCGGGTCCAGAATCCCACACCCCAGTCAGAACCTGGGTCCAAAACCCCATACAGCAGTCAGGATCCAGGTACAGGACCTCATATCGCAGTCAGGACCCAAATCCAGAACCCCATAAACCAACCAGAACCCAGGTCCAACACTGCACACAGCAACTAGGATCCAAATACAGAACCCCACACCCCAACCA